TAATTTGCGTTCCTTTTTTTCAATTTTGTTTTATTTACATCTACATTCGTTGTTCTTCATTTCTAGCCTTTGTCATCTTCATCACCTTCTATTCGGACTTTGAATCACGAGCAGCACCTCAATGTTAGTCCCATCAAGAAATTGCGTTTTGCTTGTATTAAACTAACAAGTGGAACGCTTAGGCCGTTTTTAGTTTCATGTTTTGTGGGAATGCGCGGCCTCCCAGGGATGTTGCAGGAGGGCAGCACAGCTGAGCTTCTTAAGTCCGGCCCGGTCATCGAACTTGCTCGTACCGTCGTATAGCTGCCGAAACTCCGAGGTGGAGGATGTAGGCGTGGTCAACGCCCAGACATGTCACTCAAGACGATTCCGAGAGTCAGCATGATGCAATAGCTGGGAGTACTTAAGCAGCCAGTAGTCAGTAGTAGTCAGTCAGTTAGCCAGCCTAGTCTTACTAAGTCTCAGCAACAGCTGTCGTCTACCAGCCAGCCTTGGCTGCTCCCCTTCAACCTGTCCCCCATTATCCTGCCTATAAATGAATCAATAAATATTATATAAATCTCCTTGTTACTAGTACCTAACACCGCTACACTATCAGATTGACCCCTTCAATCTGATATGGAGGTCCCGGGGAGATTTTTTTTCTTTTGCAAAGTAACTACCGGTAAATACCTCCTCCCCCCCGCCCGTCAATCAAACTTCTCGTCTTCGACTGCCAGACAAGTGCACATCCGGAAGCGAGGACACCAGTGACGCACAATCTGTATTGCGTAGGTGATTTATAGAGTATGGTATCGACTGTTGATATGCCCCGTTGCGTAGAAAGGAGTATGGCTGGTTCATTTGCTCCTGTAGTAATGTACATGGGGAATCAAGTGAGTTGGTTCTAAGAGGGTGTGTGTTGTTGTATACTGAAAATTTATTTCTAGGTCCAGTGTTCCAATTGTATTGAGCAGCGGGAATGGAATAGATGTATGGGAGTAGCTTTTAATAGTTCAAAGCAAGAGATTCTAGAGCTCTGTCAGACCAGAGAGTCTGGTCGAAAGAACGCTCAAGATTCCCTGGCCCGATCGAAGGCGGCTCACAGCTAAGAAGGGACTATGGAACAATTAGATTAAGGCTAATTCCAGTAAATCAGGCGTTGATATTTAGGAAATATACTTTATATTTAGAAGCTAGGGAAATGCGCGAGATGGTGATCGGAGTGAGTTCGAGGAGTGTTTGGCGGTCAAATTACCGGAATGAAGGAAGGGAGGAGGGGGTAAAAACACTGAAAGTACTCTGTAATGCTATTAAAAAGATTGGCTTTTGTATGAAAATCTGGTAATCTGGCAAGTATTTGGGTTGTCTCTGTCATAATAACAATATCCTTACTTTTGCTTGAAGGATAATATGGATAACCATCAGCCTGGTAGTTTTGATGATTTTTACGAGAAGGCTCTGCGGTATTTGGCGTGAGTTGCTTGGGTTCTTTAATTGATTTTATTTGATAGATGCAGTTTTAATTTTAGCCTCAGACGTGTCTGGGTTGCTGCAATAGTGCGGTGGAGGGAAACAACTTAATGTGCAAACTTCGCGCACTCGAGCGACTGAGAGACGCCCTCAAGGAGAAGATGGAAGAGGAAAAGAGGATTAACCGCAGGGCGCTGAACGGATTGGCTAATATCCGTGAAGCTCACAATGAGTTTCGTGGAGAATGGTTTCGGGTAATGATTCTGTTGTTATAAAGTTAGGTATATTGTATTACTGTCATTTCTTAGGAAGAAAACCGACAGCAATACCGCCTATGGAATGCGGTTGACCATTTTGGTCCCGTAGACCGCGAGAGGAGCACTCTACTCCATTGGGGGGCTGCGGTGCCAGGTGTATAACGCTCATCCGTTTGCCTTTGCGCCAGCCGCCTGGAATTGTATAAATGTCGGATTTGAAATTTATTACATGCAGGGATGGCGTACGCAGGGGGAAACGTCTTATATAAGCCTGATTGTTACAATGGTGGTCAGTAGGTGCAAGCGTCACCTTTCCTGCTCGGTCCGGCTCGGTCGTCTTATTTCTGGCTGTGCCATTGTGCTGCAGTTATTGGCTATTTTTACCCATATTTTATGATTGGAGTATAGTGTGAGTAGTTACTTTTGTTATTGCGTAGTGATTATAGAGTATGGTTTATTCCGACTGGTGACATGCCCCGTTGCGTAGAAAGGAGTATGGCTGGTTCATTTGCTCCTGTAGTAATGTACATGGGGAATCAAGTGAGTTGGTTCTAAGAGGGTGTGTGTTGTTGTATACTGAAAATTTATTTCTAGGTCCAGTGTTCCAATTGTATTGAGCAGCGGGAATGGAATAGATGTATGGGAGTAGCTTTTAATAGTTCAAAGCAAGAGATTCTAGAGCTCTGTCAGACCAGAGAGTCTGGTCGAAAGAACGCTCAAGATTCCCTGGCCCGATCGAAGGCGGCTACTAAGCAGCTAATGAAAGGAACTATGGAACAATTAGATGTAAGGCTATTCAGTAATCAGCGTTGATATTCATAGAATATATTTATCATTTAGAATGCTATGGGAAGCCGCGAGATGGCTGATCGAGTGATTCTAGGAGTGTTTGGCGGTCAATTACCGGAATGAAAGGGAGGGAGGGGGTTAAAAAAATGAAAGTATTGTATGCTATAAAAAGATTTGGTTGCTGTCTGTGTATTGGAAAATCTGGTATCTTGGCCAGTTATTTGGTTGTCTCTGTCATAATAACAATATCCTTACTTTTGCTTGAAGGATAATATGGATAACCATCAGCCTGGTAGTTTTGATGATTTTTACGAGAAGGCTCTGCGGTATTTGGCGGTGAGTTGCTTGGGTTCTTTAATTGATTTTATTTGATAGATGCAGTTTTAATTTTAGCCTCAGACGTGTCTGGGTTGCTGCAATAGTGCGGTGGAGGGAAACAACTTAATGTGCAAACTTCGCGCACTCGAGCGACTGAGAGACGCCCTCAAGGAGAAGATGGAAGAGGAAAAGAGGATTAACCGCAGGGCGCTGAACGGATTGGCTAATATCCGTGAAGCTCACAATGAGTTTCGTGGAGAATGGTTTCGGGTAATGATTCTGTTGTTATAAAGTTAGGTATATTGTATTACTGTCATTTCTTAGGAAGAAAACCGACAGCAATACCGCCTATGGAATGCGGTTGACCATGTTGGTCCCGTAGACCGCGAGAGGAGCACTCTACTCCATTGGGCTGCGGTGACACGAATGAATGCCGAGGAGGGTGCACGATATAATAAGACAAATGACTACGCAATGACTATCTTTGAACTACCATGCACCTACTGTACCATGCATATAAATCTCTCTCAACATCATGAATGCCTTCCTTCATCCTCACACCGACAATATTACATCCATTTTGCTGGAATTGTGTTTCGAGTATCATTGTTCCGGAACACTCCGCACGTTCCTGTTCAAGATCAATGGAATGACGCTCGGAGCTCGAGGACGAGCTCGCTATAAGGAATGGAGATGTCGTATCCGTCGTATAGCTGCCGAAACTCCGAGGTGGAGGATGTAGGCGTGGTCAACGCCCAGACATGTCACTCAAGACGATTCCGAGAGTCAGCATGATGCAATAGCTGGGAGTACTTAAGCAGCCAGTAGTCAGTAGTAGTCAGTCAGTTAGTCAGCCTAGTCTTACTAAGTCTCAGCAACAGCTGTCGTCTACCAGCCAGCCTTGGCTGCTCCCCTTCAACCTGTCCCCCATTATCCTGCCTATAAATGAATCAATAAATATTATATAAATCTCCTTGTTACTAGTACCTAACACCGCTACACTATCAGATTGACCCCTTCAATCTGATAAACTTCGGTTCTCGTTTTGCAGCACCTAAAATGTTATCCGCATCAGGAAATTGCGTTTTACTTGTATTTCAAAGCGCAATTACAGGACGGGCTGCACGCGACACGCGCGCTTACGACGGATGTTAGCATGAACGGGAGTCTGCGCCGCAAAAAGGTATAAGGCGGAGCATGGAGGAATTAGCGTGTTTCACGGTCCTGTATCCCCATTAGGCAGCGTTCATACTTCGCGACAGCAGCGGCGACCTCAGCGATCGCCGCGTCGTCGGTACCAGGACGAGCGCGCCCCAACACAACAAGTTGGACGAAGTGAAAAACCTGTCGGAAATTTGTTTTAATATTCATTTCAATGGGAATATGATTTTGGAGGCGTCTCAAGGTTTCCGAGTGAGTATCTTTACATTGGCACAGAAGGAGCCGCGCTTTTAAATGGCTCAAAATTTGGCTCATCAAAAGGCTCTCTGAAAAATCTTCTGAACGAACGAATCTTCAAGAAAACTAAAACCCATTTTGGAAAGAAGAGATACTATTCCTTTTAGGGGTGTTCTTGGTTTTCAAAATGGATGTCTGCGAAAAAAGTTACTATCGTACGAAGCATACAAACTCACGAGCTATTTGCGATTAACCCATCTAAAATCCATCCAAAATATTTATCAAACGGTGGATGGCTCAGATTACGGGTAGTAAGAAAACGCAACAGTGGATGCATCTCTTCATGTTGCCTCCCGTTTTCCGAAAGCTCCGCATCTAAAACTGTATTACTTCCAAACGAAACACCGATCTCCACTCTACCAGCAAGTATGCTCCAGCGCCATTTTGCGTTGCGCAAGGCGGCTGTTGGAGCTGCGCTCGAATCGGCCACTTGAGTCCTAGGCTTCCTTTATAAGGGGTTTCCTTCCTCTTTGATCCTCTTTGATTATCAGCTTTTTCTTAAGTATAGTAGTTCAGCTGATTTGTTGACCAATCAACGAATGGCAGAACTGAAGAAAAGGTTCAGATACGTATCCATCTAGGCCCATAATCTTTTTGTTGGAGTCAACAATTAGAGCCAGAAGGAGGGATGGGGGTCTTACCGAGACCCTCCTTCGGGTAGGGGGTCGTACTCACATGATCACTTCATATTTGGTTGGTCCATAAGTAATGGGCCAACCCCCATTTTTTCAACTGGAAATTTTGTTCAAAAAGTGAAAACTGATAGGAAACTTCTCGTACTATAAGAATATCGAAACAGCTTTGGGTGAGGAAATGATTTTTGTAAGTTTTTTAGTCGTTGAAGTTGAAAGTTGAGTCGGCGAAAATTAGTACCTTCGACAGCTGCCTCTATTTACGTCTATTCGAAGTGCTAAAATCGCTTAAGCTGCTCCATACATTTGCAATAGGTTGAGCTAGAAGTCCCAGCGAGGGAATCCTCATAGGACGCTTCGGAACTAATTTCAAGAATTTCAAAGTTGGCAACCTTCACCTCGCCAGATATTGGGCAGGCTCACGTCTGCCACCTGAAATTTTATGCTAATAGTTGAATGTTTCGCTAATGTGTTTTGTATGCTCTGATAGCAAATTTCGTGCTCTATAACACT